TCCTCCTCCCAGAGCCCGAGGCCGCCTGCGCGCCCCCGCCATGCCCTCCCCCCGGCGCTGCGAGCCTCCTTCCCACCTCTGCCTCCGCGGCCGTCCCGATTTTTTCCACCTGTCATGGTGTGCTCTGTTCGGGGGTGGACAAGCCCTCCTTCGGAATTCCTCGGATCGGCGCTGGACCCCCCTGGTGGGCGCACGCCCCTCCCAGCCCCGGCTCAGAAGGCGGGGGCCCGCCACGCTTGAGGCGGAGCGGCGGAGCGGCGGAGGCGGCACCTGCAACCCATGGGAGCCTTGTGTGCTCTCGAATTTGCGCCGGGGGGGGGGCAGAACCCCCACCATGACACGTCGATTAGTGGATTGTCCGTTTTCGGTTCTCGAGAGGGCGCCGCGGCCGCTGTTTTCCAGGCTTGCGCCCGCCAGGTTTGGGCCAGAGGTCGTGTTCACTGAACCACGTTTTACGAAAGGGGGTTCTGTCAATCCCCGATTTGTGCCTGGCGCGGCGCGCTGGCTTTGCAGACGCGCTTGCGACTACAAAAAGTTGAGAGCCGCCCATCCGACCCGCCCTGCCCGCACGACCTGTTAGGGTCCGCCCGCCCGACCCGTCCGTTAGGGTCCACCCATCCGACCCGCTCGTTAAGGTCCACCTGCCCGACGTGCCCGTCAGAGTTCGCCCCTTTGCATGCCCTCCAGGCCGCTGTAATGTCCCGCCCACCCGACCCGCCCGTTAAGAGTCCGCCTGTTCGACCCGCCAGTGAGGGCCAACCCGCCCGACCCGCGCGTCAGGGTCCGCTTGTCCATATGATTGGTCTTCTCTTCTCCCTCTCCTGCGAGATTTTCCTCGCCTTCGACCTTCCTCCCTTCCTCTTGCCCCCCTTCTTTCTCGTTTCCGCCCCCTTCTCTCGTTTTCTCTATGTTCCTTTTCCTTCCTCCGTCTTCTTTTCCAAGTTTAGGGACCGCGCCAAGTCTACCGAAGGCGAAGAGGGCGGGTGGGTCCGGGGTATACATGTTGGATGACATACGAGCGTCGCAGAGCGACCCGTCTTGAACACGTCGTTGCTGATGATGACGCAGATTGTGCTGCTGATGGTGATGGTTATGAGGATGAGGATGAGGAAGGGGATGCTGATGATCATGCTGATGCTGATGATGATGAGTAGGATGCAGAGGAGGAGGATGACGATGATGTTGATGGTGGTGTTGGTGATGATGATGCTGAGGAGGAGGGGGAGGAGGAGGAGAAGGAGGAGGGAGTGGAGGAGGAGGAGGAGGACCAGTGTAAACCCAAGACTCATCAACGATGTCGAAATACACCCTCCTTCCAAGATCCCTCTTCATAGGCCCCTACAAGGATTCATTTCCACTGAGGGAGTTGCCCCTTGGGGGACAACCGTGTGAACATCTTGAAGCGTGCCAGAACATCGTTTTCAGGAATTCACCGCCACGAGTTAACCTGATTACTACGTCTTGGCGATCCTGAATCGTGTACAATATTATTCTTGGGACTTCAACATCGCGAATCAATGTATATGCTGCGCCCTGACAATCTTGAACCGTTCGGAAACAATTTCTGGAAGGTTCCCCATGTGAATCCGCGAAGCTTCTGTATATGTTTAAAGGAGTGCGTGCGGCGCTAAGGCGAGAGCCACATTTTGAAAAAGAACCGCCCTCAATCCGTGAAGCTTTTTCAAATTTGTAAAACGAATGTGCGCGGCGCTAGGGCGAGAGCCAAATCTTGAAAACGACCAGCCCTCAATCCGTTGATCTCTTGCACTTTTTTTAGGACGGATGTGCTTGGCGCGAGGCGAGAACCACATTTTGAAAACGACCTGCCCTCCATATGTAAAAGCTTTGTCAACGCTTCATCCTCAGGGTCATTAGTGGTGAGGAAGTCTCAGGGCCATTAGTCATTGAAACTCTTGCGAATGTTGTACACGAGTGCGCGCGGCGCGAAATCGAGAGCCACATTTTTAAAAGAGCCGCCCTCCATCCGTAAAGCCTCTCGAACTCTTAAAGCAGATGTGCGCGGCGCTGTGGCGAGAGCCGCAGTTCGAGAACGACCCGCCCTCAACCCGTGAACTCTTGCAAATTTCTAAAACGAATGTGCGCGGCGCTAGGGCGAGAGCCACAATTTGAAAACGACCCGCCCTTCATTCGTGAAGCTCTTGCAAATTTTAAGAAGGAATATGCGCGGCGCTCAGGCGAGAGCCACATTTTGCAAACGACCCGCTCTCAGTCGGTGAAACTCTGTGCGCGGCACCAGGGCGAGAGTGGCTTTTTGGAAGCGACCCGCCCTCCATCTGTGAAGCTGTTGTCAAGTTTTATCATACATGGTGGGGATGCCTCAGGCCAAGCGCTCAGCCCGCCCTTTTGACCGGCCTCGGGGTGTGACAGGGAGGAGTGATCTGTAAAGGAAAGGAATGGCGGAGGAGAAGGAGGAGCGAGGAGCGAGGAGCTAGGAGGAGCGAGGAGGGCCTACTTGTGCTTCTGGATGCCTCTGGAGACCCCATGCACCTCTGGAGACTTGTTTTTTGAGTTCGGTAGACGTTTTTCTTCAACTTCGGTCTCCAGATGCCAGTCTGGGGCACCAAGAGCAAGTCAGGATGAAAAGCGTGCCTTGGGGAAAGGCTGGAGGGCTACGGGGGCCACGCCTCGGAAAAGTCATGATTCTGGAGGTCTGGGAGGGGGAGGGAGGGGGAGATTCGGAGGTTTGCTGGGCTCTCGAGCGGGCTCGATGGCTTTCAGAAGGTTGCCGAGGTGTCTCGGGAGCTCTCAGCGACTCCCTGCGTGCCCGTCATGCGGCTCCTCCTCCCGTAGTGCCAGGAGCAGGTCCTCTTGTTCGTCCTCGTCCTCGTTCTCTTCGTCCTCAGCTTTTTCGTCCTCGTCACCACGTTCGCCTCGTCGTCGTCGCCCCTTCCTCCATCCCCCCCCCTTTCGTCCTCGTCCTCCTCATCCTTCTCCAGATGCCTCGTTGCGCCGCCATCGCTGGTTTCTGCTTGTGTTGTCGCGTGCCGCTTGAGGACGATTTCAAGTTCAAGGTCGTGGAAGCTGTTCCGGAGGCTCGTGCATGTATGAGAGGGGGAGGGTGACGAGAGGGAGGACGGAGAGAAAATAGCAGGGCGATGATGATTATGATCTGATGAGAACGACAACGAGGCATTGGAGGACGTTAATCAGGAGGCGGAGCCGGGAGTAGCAGGTGAATCTGGAGGAGGTGAAGAAAAAGGAGAAGAAGGAGAACGATTCAAATGGAATTGGGAGGAATGGAAATATGCAGGGAGATGGACTCTCCATCTTATATCCCGTCCAGGCGCAGACCTCACAAATGCAGACTTGGGGTCCCCATCCCACAGTGGCTTGCGCGAGGCTTCGTTTTTCCCAAGGCCTCTTGGAGGCTTCCTTGGGAGGCTCCGAGGGCACTTGGGGCTGTCCTATGGCGATCTTGAGGGCTCTGGGAGGCATATTGGATTCTATCTTGAACCATCTCGGAATATCTTGAGCGATCTTGGAGGCCATCTTGGGCTCTCTGGGACCCTCTGGGAGCCACCTGGGGCCAAAAAGGACCCTCTGACACCTGGCGGGGGGAGGGTTCCAGACCCAGGAGGAGGGGGCAGGGGGAGGGGGGGCACCCCCTCCCCGAAGGGGGTGGAAGGTGCTGGTAGAACGAACTCCCTAAGACCACTCGGCCAGCGGGCTGGCGGGACTGAGAAGTTGGATGGGCGTGTCGGGGTTCCGGTCGGTGCCCGGTTGGTACCGCCTCGTTGCTGCCTCGTTGCTGCCTCGTGCGGTGGGTGGGTGTGTCGAGATTTCGGCTGATGCCTGGTTGGTGCCGCCTCGTCGCCGCCTCAGGCGCTGGGTGGGTGTGTCGGGGCTTCGTCTGGTGCCTGGTTGGTGCCGCGTCGTTGCCGCCTCGTTGCCGCCTCAGACGCTGGGTGGGTGTGCCGAGGATTCGTCACGTTTGCCGCCCGTGCCCCGTCGTTGCCGCCTCGTTGCCGCCTCGGATTTTGAGCTTACACGACTAGCTTCATCACAATGCTTGCACCGCATGCGTTAGACTATATTACACAGCGTAGCTTACACTGCATAGCTTGCGCCCCATAGCTTTCACCTCCAGTTCACACTGCCTAGCTTGCATCCATAGCTTACACCACACAGCTTACACCACATTGTTTCACCTCCATAGCTCACACCACATAGCTTACACGACATAGCTTTCACCACGTAGCTTACACTGCACAGCTTTTTGTTCCACCGTGGAATGATACACTGTTTGTGGTCCACGCTGGGTAACATGCTATGATTCTTCCTACTGCTATCACCTCCCCTCACTCCTTCGCCCTCCGTCGACGACGACGGGCCGTCGTCCGTCGTAGCCGTCGCGTCTGCCGTGCCGTCGTTCTTCTAGGACCCTGCCCCCGCGCGCCGACCTCGCCGCGTCTTGAGTCTCGAGTCTTGTCAAGACTCAAGGCTCAAGACCGAGAAGCGAAGCGAAGCGAAGCGAAGCGCGCAAGTCTGCCGGAGCGGGACCCTTGAGGGTCGGCGCGGGCGGGCCGGGGCCCGTACACCGTGGTGCCGGAGATGTTCATACAGAAGCCGTCGCATGCGCGATAAATTGTCCCTCCAATCTGTGCCACACACAAGAGGACGAGGAGGACGAGGACGAGGACGAGGACGACCCTGAGTCTCGTCAAGACTCAAGACCGCCCTCAAGACTCAAGACTCAAGACTCAAGACTCGAGGACGAGGAGGACTCAATGCTCAAGACGCAAGGCCTCATGACTCGAGGCCAAGTTTTGAGTCCTGAGGCTTGAGTCTTGAGGAGGAGGAGGAGGATGAGGAGGAGTCTTGATTCTTGTCGAGGCTCACGGTCGAGGAGTCTTGCCAAGACTCAGTGCGCCGATGAGGGCGCCCTGCCCGAGAGATCCCCCGCGGGCGCCTCCCGCGCGGCGCAGGCGCCCCCCTCGCCGCAGCTGTCGGTGTGCAACGCCTACCCTGGGACGCAGCGCATGCAGGCGCGGCAGCGCCCGTGCGGGGATCCCCAAACCCAGACCCCCTCGGGTAATGACAAAATCATGACGGAAGGTTTTTCGTTATTGTCGGCCACTGGGAGCCCCCTTCCTGGCCCTCGCGGCCGTCAAAAAGCGACTCAGGATAAAGAACCGGTCCAGAGGAATGGGTCGCGACCTCCACGGGTCGACGTAATGAAAAATCATGACGTCTGGGATCTGGGAACGGTGCGGCGACCACACCGCGTGGTGAGTCCGTGGCAGGGCGTCATTTCGGTTCCTCCGATGCGATCCGATTCGATTCGATGTCGAGGGCTGCCGATGCCGATGCGATTCGATTTGATAAGCCCGTGTGGATTCAGGACTTCGAGTGGAGGCCTGCTATAGCTCGCCTGCTCTTGGCCGCCGACTTTCCTTCTCCCGGCTCGGCTGCCGATCTCCGCCCATCCGAGGCGCTTCGGTCGCCGATCCGACTCGTCGATATTCGACCCTTTGGCTCTCCTGCCGTGGGGACCCCAGGGGTCTGCGGACGCCTTCGTCGGCTCTGCGGAGTTGTCCCCTGCCGCGGCCTGCGCTCCAGCGGCTGCGCTTCGCCCAGCGCGGTTTCCGGGGGTGCCCGCGGATCGTCCCGCGCGGCCGCGGGAGATCCGCTCCGTGGGCCCAGAAGCCACACGTTCGGAGGAGGTCAAGTGCACGGTGGGGACCCCTGCCAGGAGCCACCCTGCCTGCCTCCAGGGTGCCCTGGGTTTCATGGGTTTCGATGGCTTTGCCGTGGAAGGCGTGACGTTCCCCCACCAAAAATCAGTGAACGCCCTGGGGTCTCAGGGTTGGGCTTCTTGTGGAAGGTCTCCTGTGGTCGGGCCTTCACTGTACGGTGAGTCCGTGGGGTTCGGGTGACCACACGGTTTTGAGATTGGGAGTCGTTCGCCAAGGATGCCGCGGGCGGCTGGGGCCTCCGGGGTCCCAGGACGGTGCTCCGTCGGACCGTGGGGTGAGGTCTCTTGGAGACTGTTTTTCTTGTAAGGGTCTGGCGATCACCCAGATGATCGGGCCCGCCCGCCCCCTTCCCTCCCCCAGATAACCTGACATTGTCGCTTGCGTAGGGGGCAGTGCTGCTTCGCGCGGGCATGCTCGGGGCTGGCCAGAGGGAAAAGGTTGGGCCATCGGCCAGCACCTCCCCCTTCCTCTCTTCGGGAGCCTTGAGACGGGGGTCAGTGCAAAGGGGGGCCAGTCAGAGCGTCGGATCCTGCAGGATCCTGCAGAGCCTGGGTTGCATTGACCCAGGTCTGGGTGCAGGATCCTGCAAAGCCTGACTGTCCCGGGTCTGGATTCCACCGCCAGAATCTGTCCACATCCACTGCTTCGGAGTCGTGTCCTGGAGACCTCGAGGAGTGGTGGATATGGATATCTGCCCGCCCGCATGGGCGGGCACATGTCCATATCCACGGCTCCCCGAATCCCTGGGACACGACCCCGCGACAGTGGATCTGGACACATTCTGGCGGCGCATGGATTGACCCGGGTCGATAGATCCCTGACTCCTGGTCGATGGATCTCTATTGCAAAACCACCGCCTGGATGCTCGAAATTTCGGAGGTCGCCGCAGGCGGTAGATCAGGATATGTAGTCGGCCCCTCTGGGGCCCAAGTAAATCCATGTCCATCGCCTGCTGTGGTCTCAGGACGTCGCTTTCACAGGCGGTGGGTATGTATATATTGGGTCATGCTAATGGTACGTTTCAGGATTTCCAAGGCTTCCAGGATGTCCCATATTTCCTGCTGTTCCGCACCAGCTGCGCCGCTAGATGCTCTGGAATTCCGGGAATGCATCCCGAACCAATCTTACCATGACATCATTTTCGTCCTATTGTGCCCACGCGCCCCCCCCTTCAAGGGGGGCAGGCGTCATGCGTCGCATCAGCGGGGGTTGGCGCCTTGCTGCGAGTCCAGGGATTGCGCATCGGCAGGAGTCTCGCACTGCGACAGGTGGAGGGTCTCCCTCTGCGACGGGGGTGACACCTCGCTGCTCAACTGGGCACGGCTCGCAAGGGCGGGGTCCTCGCGCGGGGGTGACACAACCGCATCGCCGTGGCGCTCCGCGACGCGTAGATCCCTACGTGCCTTCCCTTTTCACCCTCATACGCGACTCTTCAACAACGAGCACCGTGCGCCTGCAAATCAGACGACAGTCTTGTGTTTGAAAGGAGCTGTCTTGCACCTTCCTAGCGAGTTGTGCGAGGTGCGGCAAGGCACGGTAGTACATTTCAAAGAGGTCCCCAGTCTAAGCTCCGTTTTGACGAGGAAGGGCCCCCCCATCCGTACAGCTGCTGCGCAAATTGTTCCAAACCATCCTGTGGTGTTGGGTCCTCGTTTTGAAGAGATGTCGCCCCGCGTTACTCTCCTCCTCTCCCTCGCTTCCCTCCACCATCATCATCATCATCATCATCATCATCATCATCATCATCATCATCATCATCATCATCATCATCATCATCATCATCGTCATCGACATCGTCATCGTCATCGTCAGCATTATCATCATCATCGTCATAATAATCATCACCATCACCATCACCATCACCATCACCATCACCATCATCATCAACATCATCATCATCATCATCATCATCATCATCATCGTCATCGTCATCATCGTCAGCATCATCATCATCATCATCATCATCATCATCATCATCATCATCATCATCATCATCATCCTCGTCGTCGTCGTCATCATCATCACCCGTTCCAGCATACCCTCACATGTTTCGTGGCCCCATAGGGAGCTCCACCGAATGTCCCAGTGGCACCGCCCGCATGCGTCACCCCCATCCAGCACAGCGTTTCGTGGCCTCATCAGGGTTCCACCGAAGGCCCCAGTGGCACCGCCCGCATGCGTCACCCCCGCACAGAAGAGCGTTTCGTGGCCCCATAGGGAGCTCCATCGAAGGCCCCAGTGGCACCGCCCGCATGCGTTACCCCCACCCAGTACAGCGTTTCGTGGCCCCATTGGGAGCTCCACCGAAGTCTCCAGTGGCACCGCCCGCATGCGTCACCCCCACCAAGTACAGCGTTTCGCGGCCTCACAAGGTATCCACCGAAGGCCCCAGTGGCACCGCCCGCATGCGTCACCCCCACCCAGTACAGCGCTTCGCGGCCCCATAGGGAGCTCCACCGAAGACCCCAGTGGCGGTGTTCGCATGCGTGCCCCCCATCCAGCACATTGTTTCGTGGCTCCATAGGGAGCTGCACCGAAGAACCCGGTGGCTTTACTCGCATGCTTCCCCCTACCCATTAAATTGTTTCGTTGCCCCATAAGGAACTCCACCGAAGGCCCCAGTGGTGGCCCCGCCCCCCTTCGGCGCACCCCTCACACTTTTCGCAGCCCCGTAGTGCGTTCCGGCTAAAGCACCAGTGGCAGCGCCCACATGGCGGCCCCGCCCCACATCGGCACACCCTTCGCATGCTTCATGGCCCCATGAGAAGATCCCCCGAAGGCGATACCCGCAACGACGGTACTCACAACTGCATATGGTTGGGTCCTTCACCAAGATAATTTTACAGCTCTGGTGATTCGTGTTGGGGCAGCATCTTGCGAGAGTTCCATTTTGAAAAGGAACCGCATTTCATCCTTCCTTGCAGCTGTAACACATGTTCAAGCTTCTGGCTGTTAGATTTCAGGAAGTCTCAAGCGAGAGCTCCGTTTGCGAAGGTATCAGGCTCCTTTGTTGGAAACGGTTGCAACGTTTGAAGGCGAATGTGTGGGGCGCCAAACCAATGACACCATTTTGAAAAGGTATTGCTCCCCATCCTGGTAGCTATTGTAAGCCTTCTGCAGACACATGTGCACGGCTTTGCGGCGAAAGCCTTGTACCCAATCATCCTATGGTGTTGGGTCCTCGTTTTGGAGAGTGAGCGCCCCGCGTTCCTCTCCTCTCCTCCTCCCCCTCCTCCCTGCTCCCTTCTCCGTTACCATGATTATGATTATGATCATGATCATCATCGTCATCATCATCATCATCATCATCATCATAATCATCATCATCATCAGCATCATCATCATCATCACCATCATCACCATCATCATCATCATCATCATCATCATCATCATCATCATCATAATCATCATCATCATCATGATCATCATCATCATCATCATCATCATCATCATCATCATCATCATCATCATCATCATCATCATCATCATCATCATCATCATCATCATCATCATCATCATCATCATCATCCGTTTCAGCACACCACTCACATGTTCCGTTGCCCCATAGGGAGCTCTACCGACGGCCCCAGTGCTACCGCCCGCATGCGCCACCCCCACCCAGCACAGCGTTTCGTGGCCCCATTGGGAGCTCCACCGAAGTCCCAGTGGCACCGCCCGCATGCGTCACCCCCGCACAGTACAACGTTTTTAGTGGCCTCATAAGGGCTCCACCGAAGGCCCCAGTGGCGTCGCCCTCATGCGTCACCTCCCCCCCTGTACAGGGTTTCGTGGCACCATGGGGAGCTCAATCGAAGGCCCCAGCGGCACCGCCCGCATGCGTCACCCCCACCCAGTACAGCGTTTCGTGGCCCCATAGGGAGCTCCACCGAAGGCCCCAGTGACACCGCCCGCATGCGTCACCCCCACCTAGTACAGCGTTTCGTGGCCCCATTGGGAGCTCCACCGAAGGCACCAGTGGCACCGCCCGCATGCGTCACCTTCTCCCAGTACAGCTTTTCGTGGCCCCATGGGGAGCCCAAACCGAAGGCCCCAGTGGCACCGCCCGCATGCGTCACTACCACCCAGTGCAGCGTTTCGTGGCCCCATTGGGAGCTCCACCGAAGGCCCTAGTGGCACCGTCCGCGTGCGTCACCCCCCACTCAGTACAGCGCTTCGAAGCCCCATAGAGAGGTCCACCGAAGGCCTCAGTGGCATCGCCCGCATGCGCCACCCCCACCCAGTACAGCGTTTCGTGGCTTCAAAAGAGCTCCACCGAAGTCTCTAGTGGCACCGCCCGCATGCTTCACCCCCCACCCAGTACAGCATGTCGTGGCCCCATAGGGAGCTCCACCGAAGGCCCCAGTGACACCACCCGCATGCGTCACACCCACCCCAGTACAGCGCTTCGTGGCCCTATAGGGAGCTCCACCGAAGGCCACAGCGGTACCGCCCGCATGCGTCACTCCCGCACAGTACAGCGCTTCGTGGCGCCATAAGGAGTTCCACCGAAGGCCCCAGTGGATGCACTCGCATGCGTCACCCCCGCCCAGTGCAGCGTTTCGTGGCCCCATAGGGAGCTCCACCGAAGGCCCCAGTGGCGGTGTTCGCATGCGTTCACCCCACCCAGCACAGCGCTTCGTGGCCTCACGGGAAGCTGCACCGAAGGCCCCGGTGGCTGTGCATGCGTTTCCCCCTTCATAACATTGGTTCGTTGCCCCATAGGGAGCTCTACCGAAGGCCCAGTGGCGGCCCGCCCCATATCGGCACACCCTTCGCATGCTTCATGGTCCGATGAGGAGATCCCCCGAAAGCGACACCCGCAACGAAGGTATTCACAATTGCATATGGCTGGGTCCTTCGCCAGGAGAATTTTGCAAACATTTCGCAACTGTTGCAAGCTTTTGAGACGATGGTGCACGGCGCTACGGCGAGAGCCCCTTTTTGAACAGACCTTCCGTCTGTTTTTCCCCAATCAGAGCTTCCCTCTGTAGGGGTCCTAGCGGATTTCAATGGTTAGCTGAGCTTTGCCGCCGATTTCGGCGGCCCGTCCGGGTGCCCGGTAGCCCAGGTGCCCAGGTGCCCAGGTGCCTGGGTGCTTTAAAGCCCTATAGCCCTATAGCCCTACAGCCCTATAGCCCTATAGCCCTATAGCCCTATAGCCCTATAGCCCTATAGCCCTATAGCCCTATATATAGCCCTATCACCCTATCGCCCTATAGCCCCATGGCCCTATATCCCTATATCCCTATAGCCCAATAGTCCTATAGCCCCATAGCCCTATAACCCTATAGCCTTGTAGCCCTATAGCCCTATCGCCCTAGAGCCCTAAAGCTTTACAGCCCTACAACCCTATAGCCCAATAGCCCAATAGCCCTCTAGCCCTATAGCCCGATAGCCCTATAGCCCTATAGCCCTATGGCGCTGTAGCCCAATAGCCCTATAGCCCTATAGCCCTATAGTCCTACATCCCTATAGCCCTATAGCCTTATAGCCTTATGGCCTTTTAGCCCTATAGCCTTATAGCCCTATAGCCCTATAGCTCTGTATGCCTATAGCCCTATGGCCCTATAGCCTCATAGCCCTATATCCCTAGAGCCCTGTAGCCCTGTGGTCCTATAGCCCTATCGACCCATAGCCCTATAGCCATATAGCCTTATGGCCTTTTAGCCCTCTACCCCGATAGCCCCTGAGCCCCACAGCCCCACAGCCCTATTGCCCTACAGCCCTATAGCCCCGTAGCCCTACAGACCTATAGCCCTACGGCCCTATAGCCCTATAGTGACATAGCTCTATAGCCCCATAGCCCCGTCACCCTATAGCCCAATAGCCCCATAGACCCATAACCCCATAGTCCTAAAAAGACGTTGATTGTTTTTTTTATTCCGGTATCATTGTAGTTGCTGCAAGAATTCATAACACATGAGCGTGGCTCTCCATCCGTGTAGCTGTTCGGAGATGTACAAGTAGGGCTCTCCATCTGTGTAGCTGTTCGGAGATGTACAAGGGAATTCTCAGGCGAGATCCCCGTTTCGAAAAGGTACCGGTCTCCATCCTTGTATTTTTTTTCAAACCTTGAGAACGAGTGTGCGCGGTGCCAAGGCGACAGCCTCATTTTGAAAAGGAGCCGGCCTCCATCCTTGCAACTATTGCAAGCTTGTAGGGCATTGCATGGGGGAGGAGGAGCTGGAGAAGGGGAGGAGAAAGGAGAACAGGGATGATGAGGATGATGATGATGACGATGATGATGATCTTGATGATGGTGATGATGATGATCATCATCATCAAGATGATGATGATAATGATGATGACGACTACGAAGGTGATTCTGCCTATTCTTATGATGGTGATGGTGCTGCTGATGATGACGATGATGACAATGATGATAATGATGATGATGCTGATGATGCTGATGATGCTGATGATGATGACGATGATCAGGACGATCATGCTGCTTGCTGCTGCTGCTGGTGATGATGGTGGTGGTGGTGGTGATGATCATGATGACAACGGCGATGATGATGATGCTGATGATGAGGATTAGGGTGATGATGATGATGATGACGATGATGATAATGAGGCGATGCTGATGATCAAGACGATGATGATGATGGTGATGAGATGAAAGTGATGGTGATGATGATGATGATGATGATGCTGATGACGATTACGAGTACGATTCTCGAGATTCTTATGATGGTGATGATGCTGATGATGACGATTTTGATTAGGATGATGATGCTGATGATGATGCTGATAATGATGATACTGAAGATGCTGATGATGATGCTGATGATGATGAGAATGATGATGATTACCATGATGATCATGCTGCTGCTGATGATGATGATGGTGGTGGTGGTGATGACGATGCTGATGGATGGTGATTATGATGATGATGGTGGTGGTGGTGGTGATAAGGATGAGGATGAGGATGATGATGCTGATGATGATGAGGATGAGGATGAGGATGAGGATGAGGATGATGCTGATGATGATGATGACGACGAGGATGAGGATGAGGATGAGGATGAGGATGAGGATGAGGATGAGGATGAGGATGAGGATGAGGATGATGATGATGATGATGATGATGATGATGATGATGATGATGATGATGATGATGCATCTGCTGCTGCTGCTGCTGCTGCTGCTGCTGATGATGATGATGATGATGATGATGATGATGATGATGATGATGATGATGATGATGATGATGAGTGCCGGCGCAGTTCTGGGCCAGTTCTGATGCAGTGCCCGCGCACCGTTGATTTGGCGACCCAGTGCAGTGCCCGCGCAGGTGATGGCCATCTCGAAGGGAGGCTCCAGCCGCTACTCGCAGGCCGGCGCCCCTCGCGTCCCAGACCCCGTCGAGTCGGGAAAAAACATCGCGGACAGTTTTCTCGCCATTTTCGGCCTCTGCGGGCTTTTTTTAGGGGCCTCGGGACCGTCAGATTCGCCTGGCGAAGGACCCAACCGTATGCAGTTGTGAGTCTCGCAGTTGTGGGTATCGTATTCGGTGGAGCTCTGTGTGGATCTCGAAACGCTGTACTGGGTGGGGCGGACGCACTGGGGCCTTTGGTGGAGCTCCCTATGGGGCCACGAAGCGCTGTACATGGTGGGGGGGACGCAGGCGGGCGGTAGCGCTGGGGTGGAGCTCCCTGTGGGGCCACGAAGCGCTTTACTGGGTGGGGGGGTGACGCATGCGGGCGGTAGCACTGGGGCCTTCGGTGGAGCTCCCCATGGGGCCTCGAAGCGCTGCACTGGGTGGTGGGGACGCATGCGGGCGGAAGCACTGGGGCCGTCGGTGGAGCTCCCTATGGGCAACCAAACGCTGTACTGGGTGGGGGGCGAACTTTGTCACTGAGGCCTTCGGTGGAGCTTCCTATGGGGCTACGAAGCGCTGTACTGGGTGGGGTTTACGCAGGCGGGCGGTAGCACTGGGGCCTTCGGTAGAGCTTCTTATTGGCTACGAAACGCTGCACTGGGTGGGGAAACGCATGTGGTCTTTGCCACTGGGGCCTTCGGTGGAGCTCCCTGTGGGGCCACGCAGCGCTGTACTGGGCGGGCTGGACGCATGCGGGCTGGTGCCGTCGGTGGAGTCCTTATGAGGCCACGAAGCGTTGTACTGGGTTGCGCGTGCGGGCGGTAGCACTAGGGCCTTCGGTGGAGCTCCCAGTGTGGCCGCGAAACGCTGTACTGGGTGGGGGGACGCATGGGGGCGGTAGCGCTGGGACCTTCGGTGGGGCTCCCTATGGGGCGAAAACGTTGTACTGGGTGGCGGGGACGCATGCGGGCGGTAGCACTGGGGCCTTCGGTGGAGCTCCCCATGGGGCCACGAAACGCTGTACTGGGTGGGGCGGACGCATGCGGGCGGTAGCATTGGGTCCTTCGGTGGAGCTCCCTATGGGGCTACGAAACGTTGTACAGGGTGGGGGGGACGCATGCGGGCGGTAGCACTGGGGCCTTCGGTGGAGCTCCCTATGGGGCCACGAAGCGCTGTACATGGTGGGGGGGACGCATGCGGGCGGTAGCGCTGGGGTGGAGCTCCCTATGGGGCCACGAAGCGCTGTACTGGGTGGGGAGGGGATGCATGCGGGCGGTAGCGCTGGGGCCGTCGTTTGAGCTCCACATGGGGCCACGAAACGTGTGATGCGTGCAAAGGATGGGAGGAGCAGGAGGAAAGGAGGGGGAGGAGGAATGAGGTATGACGGAGGAAGGAGGAACGTAGGTCGCTGTCTCTTCAAAACGAGGACCCAATACCACAGGACCTTGCTGGGGACCCAAAAGCGGGTCCCCAGCAAGGGGTCCAGACCTCGGGGGGGGTCACGCCATGAAAGAATCACCACGTCGGGGGTCTGGGGTCGGACGGCGTGGCTTTACACCCACGCCGATCCTGGCCAGGCCAGTCCTGGGCCCAGGCTTGGTGCACATGCCTTCCTCCCCGGGCCGGGAGGGGGTTACACCGATCCTGAGCCCAGGACCAGTGTCGGTGTGCAGCCAGCGCCCATTCGACGGCGCTCGCGCGCCCTCCGCTGGCGGGGCGGGGGCTGCCGCCATCGCTGCCCACGCGTGCGCCTTCGCAGCTGGGCAAGTCGTCGCGCTTCGCAGGCGACGTGTGTCGAAGGGCAGCGGGCCGCACCGCCACGACCTTTTTTTGGGTCGGCGCAGGGGGCCCCCCCCGCTCCTGGCGGCGCCTGCAGCGCCGACCCAGCACATGGGCGCGGTCGTCCGACAATCTTACGCCCCCAGGGGCCGTGCGGGCACACCTCTGTCGACGAGGGGCGCCGCCCCCCCCCCCCTAGCCGTGGATCTTCGCCGTTCGAGGAGGGACGCCCCCTCCCCTACTCGTAGATCCTCGCCATCGAGGAGGGACGCCCCCCCTGTCGCAGATCCTCGAGCTCAGCCCCCGATTGGTGTGGCCCGTCGGGAGCGCGCCTATGGCAGGTTCGCGTCGCGCCGACCGACGGCGACCCCAGCGCGGGCGTTTAAGGTTGAACGCCGCCCGTGGCCCAGAATCGGCCCCTCGTCCAACGATCCGGCGTTGACGGAACGGCCGATCGTTCAAGTTTGAACGATCCCCGCGGTGTCAGGAACCAATGCCGGGGTCGACACGGCGCGAACCTGCCGTATGTGGGGGGCTCGGGTCGCCGAGCCTCCCCCGCGCGAGCTTCAGGGACGCGCGGCCGAGCGCGTGTGCGGTCGAGAGCAGGCGCGCAGCGCGCGCGTCTCCTGCGCTGCGCTTGCCGCGAGACTCTCCTTGAGCTCCGGGAGAGCAGCTTGTCGGCCACGCGCAGACGGGGGGGGGCAGGGGGGGCCTCACCCCCTCCCCCTGCCCCCCAGGAGGAGGAGGAGGAGGAGGAGGAGGAGGAGGAGGAGGAGGAGGAGGAGGGAGGAGGGAGGAGGAGGAGGAGGAGGAGGAGGAGGAGGAGGAGGAGGAGGAGGGAAGGAGAGGAGGCGGAGGCGGAGGCGGAGGAGGAGGAGGAGGAGGGAGGAGGAGGGAGGGGGAGGAGGGAGGAGGACATGACATCGTTCTCGCCCTGCTCTCGGAGCGCGGCACCTGCCCAGGTCTCCTGCGGCGCGGGGCTCCTTGGTTCCATCCCCTCGCCTTCTCCCGGCCCTCCCCATGCACACGGGCGCACTCGTGGCCCCAAGGGGGGCTTTGTTTCGCATCCACGACTCACTTTCGGCAGGTTCGCGTCGTGTCGACTCGCCGCGATGCCGCCGCGGGCGTTCAGGGTCGAACGCCGCCGGTGGCCCAGAATCGACCCAGTATGGAACGAGCGGGCGATCGGCAAGCCGCCGATCCTTCAAGGTTGAACGATCCAGCGCGGTGTCAGGAGCCAACGCTGGGGTCGACACGGCGGGAACCTGCTGTACACCTTAGGCGATGCTTAAGAAAACCTAAGTTTTCGGCCAGAGTCTCGATTATTCTTAACTTTTCAATGTAAATCCTAAGATTTGAATAGACTTTCTGGGTTTTATTTCAAGTTCTGAGACTATGAATTTCTTAACCCATGATTTCTTAAGCATTTCGCAGGGTGTATAGCAACATGTTGTCTGTATCGCGCCAACGGTTTTTGAATCAGGTTTCGGCGTCCGCAGGCCCTTCCCCGTCCCTGCGGCCGTCGAGCAACGACCTGGAGCTGCAGACTGCTGCCCACGGAGGGGTCGAGAGGTCCAGAGACCCATGGCACGAACGGTGTCATGACACCTCGGATGCCCGGGGAACAGCAGCCATGCACGACCACCACCCCTGGCAAGGCCCACCCGGAACTCTGGCGTGGCGTATGTACCCTCCAGCCTTAATTCTCTTGCGCAGCTGTGCTCTAGAGCTCGGACCTCTCCATTTTCGGCGTCGTCGGTCGTTCGTTCGTCGTTCGCCCTCTTCCCTCCCCCTGTCACGGAAGAAAACTCCTGGAGGACGGAGGCGAAAGCCTTTGGTGATGACGATAGTGAAGATGATGGTAGTGATAGTGATGACATGATGATAGTGTCAATGATGTGGTGATGCTGATGCGATGAGTATTTAGTGATGTTCTGGTGGTGTTGATGATTTCGATGATGATGATGATGCTGGTGGTGGTGGTGTATGATGATGATGATGATGATGATGATGATGATGATGATGATGATGATGATGATGATGATGATGATGATGATGATGATGATGATGATGATGATGATGATGATGATGATGATGATGACGCTGATGCTGATGCTGATGCTGATGCTGCTGCTGCTGATGATGATGATGGTGCAAGAGCCAGGGCATGCGTGCCACATGATAGACCAGCAGGGCGTGTACGCCATTCCAAGGACAAGGGGTGGTGGCCCTTGCCAGGAACCCGTACACATACATATATATATATGTGTATATATGTGTATATACATATGTATCTATATATTGCTATAGCCATATGTAGACATGATAATGTATAGTCTCCAAACGTAGCTTTGTAATTACCTGGTGTTCTCTCCCTCTTCCGAGGATGACGACGAGAGAGAGAGAGAGAGAGAGAGAGAGAGAGAGAGAGAAAGAGAGGGAGAGAGACAGGGAGAGACAGAGGAATAGAGAGAGAGAGAGAGACAGCGAGCGCTGTAAAACAAGTCGTCGTCGTCCTCCTCCTCATCCTCCTGCCTCGGTCTCGTGCTCGTCGTCGTCCCCCTCGTCCTCCCATCTGCACCTGCGTCGTCTGGTTTTCCGGCCATAACTCGGATCTCCGGCGGCCGTTCAGGCCGATTCGGGCACCCCCGGAACGCTCTGGATGAATTTCTTCCCCAATCAGAGAGCTTGCCTCTGTAGGGGTCCTTGCGGATTCATATGGTGAGGTGAGGTGCGTCGCCGATTTCGGTGGCCGGCCCGGGTGCCCTGGTGCCTGGGTGCCCGGGTGCCCAGGGGTGCCCGGGTGCCCAGGGGTGCCCGGAGGTGCACGGAGGTGCCCGTGTGCCCGGGTGCCCGGGTGCTCTATCGCCTTATAGCCCTATAGCCCTATAGCTCTATAGCCATTTAGCCCTGTAGCCCAATAGCCCTGCAGCCCTATAGCTCTATAACCCTACAGACCTATAACCTACAGCACTATAGCCCTATAGCCCTGTAGCGCTATAGCCCTATAGCCGTATAGCCCTATAACCCTATAGCACATATATCCCTATAGCCCATATAGCCCTATAGCCCTATAGCCTGTAAACCCTATAGCCCTATAGCCCTATCGCCCTACAACCCTATAGCCCTATAGCCCTAAAGCCCTATATCCCTATAGCCTTCATAGCCTTCATAGCCCTCGCAGACTTCATAAACCTAAGGAGCAGTTGCAGAGGGATCTCATGTACTATCAAAAAGACTCTGATTGGTTTTTCTCTTGTATCATCTGGTGATTTCTTCTTCCGCTACCTCCTCTTCCTCCTCCGAGGATGACGACGAGAGAGGGACAGAGAGAAAGAGAATGACAGAGAGAGAGACAGAGAGAGACAGAGGAAGAGAGAGAGAGAGAGAGAGACAGCGAGCGCTGTAAAACAAGTCGTCGTCGTCCTCATCCTCCTGCCTCGGTCTCGTGCTCGTCGTCGTCCCCCTCGTCCTCCCACCTGCACCTGCGTCGTCTGGTTATCGGGCCATAACTCGGATCTCCGGCGGCCGTTCGGACCGATTCGGGCACCCCTGGAACGCTCTGGACGAGGCGCAGTTGAAAGAATCCATCCAGGGTCTCGAACATGCTCGAAGAGCTCTTGAAAGTTTCAGACCAGACCAGACTTTCCTCCATCCCTTTTCCCTCTCCGCGAAGGTCGTGCACGACCTGGACTACCAGTCCTGCGCGGACGTGCAGAGCCTGCCGTTCCGACCGGGCGCGCTGTCCGTCGTCATCGGCCGCCTGGAGGCCATTGAGCTCCCTGCGCCTCCAGCGACGGCTCTGGACTAGGGGAGCTGACAAAGAGAGGAGATGATTCGGTATGTGTGCCCTCGTAACTCCGTCTTTCGTTGGCATCAGAGTCGATAAGCGTTTGGTAATCGATGCTAACGTGTTGATTCAGCGTCGATTGGCGTCCTTCAGTGTCGATCAGCGTCGATTTAGCGTCGACTAGCGTCGATTCGCGTCGATTCGCAAGAGCCAACAAGATGGTATGGGCGGTTCCCATGAGTTGCCACCAAAAGATGAGCACTTCGGGCGGCAGAGACAAAAAACGCCAGCACGGAAGTTCAGGGATGAGGCCCGAACCAAGAAAGGGAGGCGCAGTATCCCAGGGCATTCCGACGCCAACCTGTCTTATCTCAAACGCGGTGCAGGTTCAAAGCCAAGGTGGGCTCCAGCGCTTTTTCCGACCCGTAGGGGAGCTGAGGCTCAAGCCATTTTGGCTAAAGGCCTCAAGCATTCACTGGAGCTTCCCGCCCTGAATCTTTTCCGGTAGGGCAGCATGGCAGCGACAACTGCGGGAGGAGGAGGAGGTCGGAAGCTCCAGCCGACTGGCAGCAATCCAGAAGCTTCCGACAAGAAGTTTGCTAAGGTGGAGGTGACTTCCGATTCTGGGCTGACACCCCAAAACAGGATGAACGACGACGATGCTGGCAAAGATGATGATTTGGACATCGGAAATGGGACAGAGGATGAGGAGATGGGCATGCAGGAGATGATGAAGTCGATGATGGGCATGATGAAGGGAATGAGGAAGGACGTGAAGGACATTAAGAAAATGGAGGAAGGGGATAGTACAGCAAGCTAAAACCTCAGCGACCAAGGCCGAGCAAGCGGTAGAAGGAGTCAAGGAGGATATGGCGAAGATGCACTGGAGAGTGCTGTCGAAAGAGAGGACTTGCCAAACATGGTAGAAGAACTGATGAAGGAAGCCACGGCCAGTGAACCACATCCCAGGATGAACCCAATGACGATGAGGACTCCTCGAGGACAGGAGCAGGACTACGACATATATACGACAGGAACAAGCAGGTTGCCGTGATCGGCTTCACGAACAAGCCGCCGGAGGGCATCTTGACACAATTGCCTGGGAAGGACCCGGACGTCACAGTCACGACGGAGGCCGACCCCACGAAGGTGGGGATGATCAATTTCTGCACCGTACCTGAGAACATTTCCTTTTTTCAAAAAACTGCAGTCTGACGGCGCCAATGTTGAGAAGGACGGGCTGCAGTTTCGGAACAATCGAACTTACGAGCACCATGCTATTCAGAAGCGCCTTGGCTACACGAAACATCACATTACCAACGGGGGGAGAGCGAAGATGGAGGACGTCAAGATACTGTGGCAGTCGGCCATGGTGACAGTGAAAGACAAAAAGGTGGCTTGGTACGATACCACTGGCATTTGGCGTAAGGCGACCACGGCAACATCGGTGAAAGACAAGATGGAGGAGTCAATGAGGAAGTGGGAAGCTAAAAGATACCAGGAACCAAGCACACATGAGTCTGAGTGACTCGTGCGTTCGACGTATGGGGAGGGTTGGCAAAAGGAATGGGTGTGGGTACTCTAATTTAGTTATCCAGGCACTATTTAAGCTTTGGGTTTCGCCCACATGTTTCACTCGAGGGCTCTGGAATAATGAGGGGAAATGATAAAAAAAAACGCCCCCCCCGGACCTCCCAAAATGATCGAGTGGGGCTGACTAATAGAATTCAGCCGCCGGAAACTGTTTTTTTAATCGTCCGCCCCCGGGCGTTTGCTGTTGCCCTTTGGGGGAAACTGATTTTCTATTCGTCCTCCTCCGCTCGCTTGATCACCCGCGGCCGCGGGGGGAGGGGGGACGGGGTAATTAGGGAGTTGTTGGGGCAAGGGGTTTTCGAAGAGGCGCTTGATCACCCTCGTCCTTGCGGAGGAGGAGGAAAAGGAGGAGGAGGAAGACGAGGAGGAGGAGGAGGAGGAGGAGGAGGAGGAGGAGGAGGAGGCGGAGGAGGAGGAGGAGGAGGAAGAGGAGGAGGAAGAGGACGAACTCGCCCTGAAAAATCACCCCGTCCACCCCCCTGGCCCCCGCGCCCTGGATCGCCACCCTGTGCCCCTCCCCTTTGGCCTTCCAGGCAACCCTGAATTGTCATCCCCCCGTCTGCCTGCCCTGCCCCCCCCCGCTATTGCGGGGGCGAGGAGGCCCGCCTTTTTTGTATATATATATACATATTATATATATATATATATTGTTGAGGGTGTGTGTATATACATATATATATATATAATTTGTGTATATATATATCGTATATATACATATGTTATATGTAAGTATGTATGTATGTATGTATGTATGTATGTATGTATGTATGTATGTATGTATGTATGTATGTATGTATGTATGTTTATTTATGTATGTATGTATGTTTATGTATGTATGTATGTATGTATGTATATATATATATATATATATCTATGAATAACCGTTTCCCCCATTATCTTTGGAACCTGGGCCACATGGCCCAGTGAGCAGTGGAGGAGGACGAGGCGGAAGAGCTTACGCTGAAGTTCTTGGGGATGTGCCGACTTGTTTTTTGAATCCGAGTACCTCCTCATCGAGACTACTCGACCGACCCACCCCCGCAGTGCAGCAAAGATTTGTTCACGTTCACAAGAACGTGCGAGAGCTCGCGAACGACGATCGAGTGACTGAGCTGCTGCAGGAATTGGAGAATACTGAGTGGGATGTGGTTACAATTCGTGAGACAACGCGGCCGATTCAGCACAACATGTGTGACGTCACCGATGGACACGTGTTCACGTGAGCAGGGGAACGACATGCAAGCATGGAGTGGGAGTACTCTTGTACCAAAAATGGGCAACGCATTCGTCTTAGCTTGTACCTGTGAGCGAGCGCGTCGTTTTTGTGGATATCGGACGTTCCTGGTTACGGGCGCGATTCGTTACAACGTACGTTCATCACTGGAAGTACAACGACCAAAACGTGCAGGACATCTACCACATATTGTCGGAGGTCGTGCGGGAGGCTCGTTTGCGAAGCCTCCATGTGGTAATTGGCTCTGACTGTAGCGCGCAAGTTGGGCCAGCTGACGAAAGCGACAATTCCAAAGTATGCGGGGCCCGCGCCCGCGGACTAGGGGATGTCAGAGGTCGATGGCTGAAAAAAATGGCGAACGCGGAGAACTTAACGCTGACGAGTGCGATGTTCAAGGGACAGCTTCTTTTGTTGCCGACGTGCCGCAAAATCTGGCATGCCCCCAAACAGCTTGACTACATGGGGGTGTCCAAAGGCTTCTGGGGGACCGTCCGTGACTCGGTTGCGAGCTCGTGTGTCGATGTAGGCTCAGATCACGTGGCGGTGCGTCTGCGTCGTACCATTCTGATGTCATCGGGAGCGACGGGGGAAGTCGCTAGACCAGGAAAGCGCAAAAGGCGAGAAAACACATGTGGCCACCGCCAAATATTTCTCTTCCTATATTTTTATGAGCCCGGGCGGGGGGAAAACCCGTCCCCCCCCCCAAAACCGGACTCCCGGGATCTGGGGCTTTGGGACCCTCCAGACGGGCCTCGAAGCGGCCACCGGGCCTCACATGGCGTTTTGCCAAGCCTTCCAGCACACCTGGAGCGATCAGGGGGGTCATCGGAGACGTCCCAGAGACCCCCAAGACAGCACAAGAGCGCTCCAAGAGTGACCGACGTGACCTCAAGATGGCCCAAGAGGCCTCCAGGACGGCCCCACAGAGGCTTCCAAGAACATTCCCAAGAAGGCCCCCCGAGGCAAAAATCATTGATTCCTGTTGGTTTTGGGGGAATTTTAGGGGTCTCCTCTTTTCGGCTTCCCGACGCTCCAAGACGGTCTTCTGATCGTCCGAAGCCGCCTGGGAGGCTCCCAAATCGCTCCAGAACCATCCGAAAAGGGCTTCCAGGCAGTCCAAGAGAGCCTCAAAACGGCACATCACGGGTCTAAGATGGCCCTCGCAGAGCCCCATGGCGGCCCAAGATGGCCCACATACACCCTCCGAAGAGTTCCAAATCGTGATTCGGTCGTTCAGGGAAACCGCGGTTGGAGGCAGGGTGGCCCGAGGAAGCCCCCAGAGGCCCACAGAATACGCCCAGGAGGTCCCCAGAAGGCCTCAAGAAAGCTTGAAACAACTTTTGTGAGGCCCCTAGAGGCTCTCCAAGGAGGAGCCTCCGCAAAAAAGAGCTGAGGAGGATGGGGAGAATGCGCAGGGCATGGCGAAAAGAAGGAAACATATGCATGGAAGCAGGAAAACGAATAACATTATCATAGCGGCGATGCCAGAAAAAGGCAACCAGGAGTTATCGCTAGATTGTCGGCTTGACCTTCCTGCTATCCCGCCTGCGTACCAAACTTCAAGGACCAAAGTGCGTGGCGCGAAGCGCCAGTGCAGTTTTTTTTTTTTTTTTTTTTTTTTTTTTTTTTTTTTTTTTTTTTCTCTCTCTCTCTCTCTCTCTATATATATAAGGTCCTGGCGAGAACGGCCGTGATCGCCCTCTCCCTCTCCCCCCCGGATCACGTCACGCCATTTGGCGCATATTTGCTATGATCTCCCACGGATTCTCCGGGAACTTCCGGCGACTTCTGGCAGCCCCCCGCCGTGATGTGTGACCTGGGGGCATGCGGCACGCCCAGTGTCGCAATAAGAAGAAGACGGGCTCATCGGGAGGGAGGGGCGATCAGGAAGGAGGGAGGGAGAAGGAGACCCCTACAGGAGTTGGCGCAGACACCGCGCCGCGCTTGGCTGTCGCCTCCACCGAGGGAGTCTGAGCCCCGAGCCCCGGGGAGCCTGCCAGCCTTGAGGCCCGAGATGGCCAAGCAACTACACCACCGGCGCCGACATCCAGGGCCACCTTCTCTCGGTGCATGCGAACCTCGATGATTCGAGAGAGGCGTCAAGTGTTTCGAACGTTGGGTCTGCCAGGGAGAAGTGGGATAAGGCGCGGTGGGGCGCGACCCCGGCGCCCAGGTCGCCCGCGTTGCCGTCAACGACTCGGAGCCTCTCTTCTCGCGCCCAGCTTTGCCGGCTGCTCTCCTCCTCCTGCCCCTCCTCAGCCTCTCCCTCTCCTCCCTTCTCCTCTTTTCCCTGGGTCTCTATTTTCCAACATTTTTTTCTGCTTCCAGCTTCCTCGTCCTCCTCCTCCTGCTTTCCTCACTCCTCTCAATTCTCCTCTCTCTACTTCTCTCCATCCCTCCTTCCTTGCATCTCCCCCTTCCCTCCTCCTCCCCCTCCTTCTCCTCCCTCCTTCACCTATCTCCTCGCCATCTCTCTCCCGCATCGTTGACGCCTCGCTTTCCTCCAACAGCCCATGCAGGATCGCTGCCCAGGCGCGTTGCCTTGACCACGGCACCGCCACAGCACGCAGCGGGAGAGCCGCCCGGAGCGATCCGCGCAACGGAACCCAACACACGACGGCAGGACCCATGCAGCGGAGCTCTCGTAGCATGCAGGCCCAATGCCCCTGCGAGTCGCCTGCGGAACGTCGACGAAGCCTCACGTGTCAGCCTACCGCTCCTCCGTAAGGACTGCCTCAGTGCGTGTTCCCCCGATCGTGGGCTTGTCATCGCACGCAGCGAATCAGCAGCCCAGAAGGATCTGTGTGCAGCCGCACAGGAGACCCGTGAAAGCCGCGAGGTCACCAATCACCACCCACCAAACCTTCCCGACCCTTTTCGAAGGCCCCCATTTGCCATCTCTTCCCAGTGGGGTGGGGGGGGTCGTCGGGGAACATCAGCAAAAACGCACATTCGGACCCCGTGCGCCCCCCCCTCCTCCTCCTCCTCCTCCTCCTCCTCCTCCTCCTCCTCCTCCTCCTCCTCCTCCTCCTCCTCCTCCTCCTCCTCCTCCTCCTCCTCCTCCTCCTCCTCCTCCTCCTCCTCCTCCTCCTCCTCCTCCTCTCTCCTCCTCCCTCCTCGTGGGGCGCGCTCGACCGAGCACGCGCGAACCCTGACGGGCTGGTCGGGTCGGGCGGGGGGACGCTAGCGGGCGGGTCGTGTCGGCAGTTTCGCCGACGGCAGTTGGTTTCGCCGACGGCAGCTGGTTTCGCCGACGGAGCTGGTTTCGCCCACGGAGCTGGTTTCGCCGGGCGGCGAAACCAGCCGAGCGAAACCAGCCAGGGCGAAACCAGCCGGGCGAAACCAGCCGTCGGCGAAATCAGCGGTCGCCCCTCCCCCCGGGTAACGTCGGTTACCCGGGAAAGTGACCAAGGACGGTCACCTCGCCTCTTCGTTGGAATTTTCTGCCCTATCGTCCAGGCCAGTTGGACCGCTCGTGGTCGAGCCACAAGGCTCAGCACGCCGGAGCCGCCCCTCACCACCAACCAAGCCACCCCGGCCCATCCCGAAGGCCTCAAGTTGCCCTCCATTTCCAGTGTGGGGGGGTGGGTCGGAGAACATTGAGAAACACACATGTGGAACGCGTACCCCTGGGGGGTTTCTCCGAAGGGCTTAGGCGACCCGTCCTCCTCCTCATCCTCCTCCTGCTCCTCCTCCTCCTCCTCCTCCTCCTCCTCCTCCTCCTCCTCCTCCCCTCCTCCTCCTCCTCCCCTCCCCCTCCCCCTCCCTCCCCCTCCCCGTCCCCCTCCCCCTCCCTCCTCCTCCTCCTCCTCCTCCCCTCCTCCTCCTTCCTCCTCCTCTCCTCCCTCTCCTCCTCCTCCTCCTCCTCCTCCTCCCTCCCATCCTCCCTCCTCCTCCCTCCTCCTCCTCCCCTCCTCCTTCATCTCCTCCTCCTCCTTCCCCTCCCCTCCTCCTCCTCCTCCTCATCCTCCTCATTCTCCTCCATCTCTTTTCCCCCTTCCCATCCTCCTCCTCCTCCTCCTTCCTCCTCCTCCTCCTCCTCCTCCTCCTCCTCCTCCTCCTCCTCCTCCTCCTCCTCCTCCTCCTCCTCCTCCTCCTCCTCCTCCTCCTCCTCCTCCCCCTCCTCCTGCCTACGGCCCCGAGGGAAACCGTGCGCGTACCCCTTCCCAATCCTTCCGTCCTCCTCCTCCTCCTTTCTTCCTCGCTCCCCCCAGCAGGGCTCGTTTTGATTCCTCCGGTTCGATTCGATTCGATTTCGATGGCGTCTGGTTCCGATTCGATTCGACTTCGGATTTCGATCTGGGATCCGATTTCTCACTGGTGGCCTACTAGCCTGCCGATTTCCGCCGATTCGACTTTTCCCGACTCGGCTGTCGATTTCCGCCGATCCGATTTTTTTTGATCGCCGATCCGACTTATCGATTCGATTCTGGGATCTCCTGCCCCAGAGCGTTCCGCCCGCGAGTCGCATCTGGCTGGCACTCACTGTTGGGTGGAAGTGCGAAGGGCCTCCGTGTGTGGGAGTCTGGGTTTTTGCTATCACCAGCTGGTTGTGGTGTGGACTGCCTTGCCATTCCTCCTCCTCCCCGTGTAGATGCTCCGAAATGGCCTAGTGGGGGTCTAGAGGAGCTTCGCTCGGGAATCCGCACTTTCGCGCGACCCTCGCGCGGACTTCCTGGCCGTGCCCATTCGGCGCTGATCTGCACTGGGGTGGCGTTGGGGTGTGCGCCGTGCCAAGGTCTTGGCAAGTGCGCGCGTGGATGGCGCCCGTCATCCTCGATCCGTGCTGCTACGTGCCACCGTCATTTTGATGGTCACTCCATGGTCACCGCCACCATTACCACCGTCGCCATCAGCATCCGCGAGATTCAAACAGACACAACGTATACCCACATCAGACCCATTATAGATCCAGCATCGACCCAACCTTACACCAATATAGTCAGGAGGGGGAAAACCACAGACACAATGAATCGTCGGCTCCCAGGAAAATTGTTGGAAACTATGGGAAGAGGGGGTGAAGACGAAAACCCAGAACACGTGGAGGGACATGGGGAATCCTGGGATTCGTGTATATTTCTTTGTGTGTCCCTGGGCCTTTTTTTATATACCTGCCATAAATCCACCACGCGCCCAACGCAGACCCAACCAGCGTTTTTCTGTGCCAGCAGCGCAGGCTCAGACAGACCCGCGCAGCGGCGGCGCGGCACTCCCGGAGCTCTCGCGCGGAGCACTCTGGAGTTAGGTCGGGCATGTCCCACTACAGGCGGATTTTCGAAAGACAAAGGATACCCCAAGAGTGCGCCCAACATTCTCAAACATGACCAAAATGCCCTCCCCAGACTAATTTTTGACTATTTTTGAATACTCCTCCTGTAGGAGGACGGGCCCGACTTAACTCTGGAGTGAACAAACACGGGACTCCAGGACCCGCGCAGAACTCAGGAGGGGAGAAAACACACAGACACAATGAATCGTCGACTCCCGTGAAAATGTGGGAAGTGGGGGTGAAGACGAAAACTCAGAAAATATGGGAAACTATGGGGAATCTTGGGATTGGTATGTGTTTGTGTGTCCCTGGGCCCCTGTAAGAACTTTGATTCTCATCGCTCTGGAGTGGCGAGAATCGACAATTCGCGCGGGTGCCACGCGAACCTCCGAAACCTCGTCGCGACCGACTCGCGCCACAAAACCGCTGGAGCGTAACGGGGGGATCGCGCCGTTCCCGCCTCAGCGATGTAGCTCCCGGCTGCGCCGCGGCGGTATCTCGCACCCACGTCAAGTCCGCAGCGCGCAGAGCCAACATCAAACCTTTCGGCGGCGAGCGAGGGGGGGAAGTGAGAAGGGGCGGGCCTTCTCAGAAGGCTTGGAAGTCCCCGAGGCCTCCGAGAAGCTTTTGACGCTTTCCCCGAAGACACAGGCAGCTCCTCAGAAGGCCAGAGGAGGGCTTCTGTGAAGCCCCGCCGCCTTCTGAGAACTTCTCAGAAGGCGGCGGGGCTTCTCAGAAGGCCTTCTGAGGGCCTTCTCCTTCTTACTCCCCCCCCTCGCTCGCCGCCGAATCTGCAAACGGGGGCACGGGGAACGCCGATTTCCACGTTTGGCTATGCCCCTGTTTAGGGGGCCCTGGGCGCCGTAGACGGGGACACAGTAAACGGGGGACACAGTAAACGGGGGCATGTGGAAAAGCCGCAGCCCCCGTTTAGCCAAACCCCCGTTTGTGAAGCCCCGACCCGATTTCAGAGGCTCTCCACCTCCCTCCTCGTCTGCGTTTTTGGCCTCGCCCCAGAGGGGCGGGCGCGAAAACGGTCCGGCGGTCGGACTGTTCATACCGACTCCTTCTGTCTCGACTTCGCTGGCAGTGCTCCCAGGACTGCTCTACTCGGGGGCGGCCAAGTGGGGGGTGATGACTGGGGGGGGTGGATATCCTGGCCGGGGCCATGATATCTTCCTAGATTTCGTGGCGCCTCTTCTTACTTCATTACGTCCCCGGCCCCCGCCCCTGGGCCGCGCACATGCCTCCGGTCATGACTTGCGCCCCCCCCTCGTGGACGCCCCCTTCTTGGGCGCCCCCGATCCACGGAGGTGCCGTTTCGTGGTGTTGCCTTCTCCGTCTCCCCGCCCCGACAAGTTGCCCCGGAAAGCTATCCGGGTGAAGGTCCCGGCCATTTGCAGCTGCGACTCTCGCGTGCAATTCGGGCCTTCGGCCGCGGGGGCCTCTGGCGGAGCCCCCTGGGGCCACGAAAGGTGAGGCGGGTGCTGGGTTGGGTGCGGGTGCGCCATGTGGACGTTGTCGCTGGGGCATCTGGTGGAGCTCCGGATGGGGGGACAGAGCGTAAGAGGGGTGTGCCGACTTGGGTGCGGGTGCGACTCTTGTGGGCCTCGGTTGGGAGATGCCTGAGTTTAACAGGCTGGTGGATGATCTCGGGAACACTCACGAGCTTTCATTCACTTCCCCCGCCCTCCTTAGGAAACACCTTCGAGCTGCGGTCCTTAGGAGACTCGAGCGCTACCTGGCCCACAAGTACTGTTTCGGGCACGGCCGCCTCTGCTACGATGTGGTCTCCTCTTTCTTGTCCTCCTCCAAGTATACTCCTCTTCAAAAAGGGACTCTGAGGAGCTGTACGTGCGACGGCATTTGGACTCGAATGAAGGCCCGTGGCTGCGGTTACCAGTTTCCTGCAGAGTGCGAGCTCTGCGGCG